TTTGTGTAATTATAGAGAAAACGACGCTCTATTTTTCTGTGCTATTTGATCACTCTTCAACTAATATCATAATAATAAAATCTCGATAGGAACTGTGTTTGTGTACAACTTCACTAATCTGTAAGACGATTCAAAGGTCACACTTTGCATTCCAATTTTCAATCACTTAATAGGTTGTATAAAAAAAAGACAAAATATACCACTAAATGCAGCATGAGAAAACTCTACAATTTCCGTAAGGCCGTTTATTTTATAGTTGCACTTTTTGTTCTCATAATGAGCAAAATTTTGAGCGACCAATTTTCGACCTTGCCAAAAACCATATTTCTTTTTGGTACAAGATGAATTCATTTTTCTCTTATTTCATCTTTTTATCACCTGATGTCTTTCATTTAAAAAAAAACAACATGCATCAAAAGATCCAGCGTGAAAAGCTCTACAAGCTGTATATGATCGCCTACTTTCATTGCGTACTTCTTGTTTTCCAAAGAGGGTCGGACATTCAATTGATCGGTGACACAAACGCTTACTTCCAGCGGAAAAATGTCGCTCGAGTCAAAAATGGTCAGCCGTAAGATACTTTAACACTCATACAGATAAAATTTCAGCGAAAAAATGCAAATTTATAGGAATAATGAAGCTTTCCATAGAAAAACTGAGATGGAAAAATGACAAAATGATTTCTTCTATGAAAAATGTGTACAGATATGTGAATAGCTAAATCGGTTCTAGTGTCGACGAAAAATGAAAATGCACAGGAATAATCAAGATTTCTGCAGAAAAAGTGGAACAGAAAAGTCAAAAAAAAAGATTTCTTCTATGAGAAATGCGTTAGATTTGTGAACAACTATATAGATTCTAGTGCAGCGGAAAAAAAATTCATAGGAATAATGAAGTTTTCTACAGATAAAACTGAAATGGAAAGATAACAAAATGATTTCTTCTATCAGAAAAGTGTTAGATACGTCAATAGCTATATAGATTCTATTGCAGCGAAAAAATGACAATGCATTAGAATAATTAAGATTTCTATAGAAAAAGTGGAATTGAAAAATGAAAGAATGATTTGTTCTATAAGAAAAGTGTTAGACATTTCAATAGCTTTAGATATACGGTTTCGGCGGAAAAATGAAAATGCATTAAAATAATGAAGATTTCTATAGAAAAAAAGTGTAATGGAAAGATGAGAAAATGATTTCTTTTATGAGAAAAGTGTTAGATATGTGAATAGCTATATAGATTCTATTGCAACGGCAAAATGAAAATGCATAGGAATAATGAAGATTTCTGTACAAAAAGTGGAATAGAAAAATGAAAAAATGTTGTCTTCTGTGGGAAAAATTGTTTGATACTTGAGTAGCTATATAGATATTATCTGAGAGGAAGAGTGAAATTTTGTAGTAATAGTTAGTATCGCTAGAAGAAAAATGAAATCGATGAATGAAGAAATGAGTTAATGTATTAGAAAAATTGTTAAATACTTGAATTCGTGGATAAATAACCGGTGTGCGGAAAATTGGAAGGTGGTATGGATAGTGGTTACTAGTGTGTGACAGAGAAAATAAAATAGAAGAGAGAATAGGTCACTAGAAAGTAACAACTCTAGGGAAAACGTGCCAGTTATATAGGAATATGATCGAGATAGGTTCATTAATCTAGTGGCATTTAAGAAGATTGCCTTTAGTGTAACTTGTACCAAAGAAATATAGCACTCTGATAGTATATAATATTATTGTAGCGGAAAAATGAATATCAATAAAATTATGCTCACCGGTGTATGAAAAGTTTTTCAAAGAAACGCATTTTTTCTGTATCTTATGAGATCAATGGTTTTTTTGTCGATTAGCCGAGTGAATGTAGCATGATTATAGTATCTAGTAGATTTTCAAGTTAATGGTGAAAATTAGATGATCTATGATATGACGTAAATTTTAGTGTTTATGGGGGTTTGCTTTCGCAGGTATTACTTTTCTGAATGGTAAACATAGAAGAATGAGATACGAATGAAATATGGACGCATATGCATATATGTATGTGACGGTCGTCCTATATGAACAGAATGGATAAAAAATTCATTTTTGACGTGGATGACATTTTTCCGTTGAAAATGAGCATTTATTTCACCGATCAATTTGTTGTCCACTGCTGTTCTTATCTGAAATATAAAATAATTTGTTGTTTAAAAATTGTAGAGCTTTTCACGCTGCATTTAGTGGTTTATTTTGTTTTTTATTACGACCTATTCAGTGATTGAAAACTGAAATGCAGAAAGGGCAAAGTGTGGCCATTTAATCAGTCTCACATATTAGTGAAGTTGTACACAAGAACAGTTCTTATCGAACTTTTATTATTATGATATTAGTTGAAGAGTGATCAAATAGCACAGAAAAATAGAGCGTTGTTTTCTCTATCACTACATAAAAAAAAGAAAATCTATTCAAGTTTTCTATTAAATAAATAAGATAATGATGCGACTACTTTTGGTATGCCCTAAGTAGTATGAATGCAAGGGAAAAAAATCACCTGGAAGCGTTCCCTTGTAAGTGGTATTACTTCAGGATAGAATAATCTGCTGGATACTGATAATGAAAAACGTTTTCTGGAGAGGATATAATTTTAAAAAACTTACGTTTGCTAAGTGTATTCTTGAAAAACCTTCTGTGCTGTCGAGCAAAATGATGGTGTAATGAATCGAAGTTATTCTATGCAAAAGAATGAAAGCATTATTTTGCTTAAATGCATATAGAAAAAAAATTTGGCTTGCGTGCATTCATCCGTATACATATGTAAAGCATGATCATATATTATTGAGACACTCCGATTTTTTCTCCTTGAAAATATTTTCATTGTTTTGCTTGTTCTATCACTAATCGATCAGCCAGCTTAATTGGCGAAGAGAGGGAGAGTTAATCGATGGTTCGCAAAAATGTGCATTATACCACGGCTTTATTTGCTTTTTTTCTATCGTTGCACAGGATAGGTAAAATATGAAGGCTTCACAAGCAATAGTATGCTGCATAATACCGTTGATCCTGTTGAAATCAAATTCCAAACGTCCCTTCTACGTATAAGAGAAGATATTGGTTTTTGACATTACTTCTGGAAGCATTTCGTGGCCATAGCCATGTTCCTTGTCAAAGATCGAAGCTCGTATGTGGTCTCAGCCTCAAGATCATTTCTAATCCCCACAGAGACCCAACACTCGGTTTCAGTATCTGCCTCGGCTACTATCTTCGTTCAAATTTCAGTGCTGTTTGCCGTGTGTATCCTTGTTCTGATTACGATTCCTATTCTAGTCATGATTCACGTTTATGTCGCAGTTCAAATCATCATTCTGCTACCCAGCTCCATGTGAAGTCAGCTTCAGATACGACTCACACTTCCAGTCGCATAATCAGTTACATTATCGACTTCAACTTTGGTCCCAAGGTCTATTGAGCAGGTTGTGTGTCAAGCGGGCTCTGCGAAGCCTAACTTCTTGTCCAGGTTTCACTCGCTGCTCCGTATTCATCCCGAAGTTTTTCACAAACCATTACTGCTTTTCTTTGCAGTTCTGATCGATTATTGTCCTCACTTCGGATCTCGGCTTGAGACTAGGGGTGTTACTTTATCTTTATTAATCTTTATATTCAAGAATAAAAGCAAATAAAATCTTTATATTTGAAAAATAAAGATGAATGAAGTCTTTATATTTACAAAATAAAGACAAATAAATCGTTTATTTTTGAAAGAAAAAAGAAAATAGAAAGATAAGTGTGAGATTTTTTCTATGATTAGAAAAGAAACAAATCCATGCTCTAACAACAGGATACGTCAACTAGAAGAAGTGAATTCATTAAATATATTTTTTCGATCGCAAAATAGCATCCGCAGAATAAGAATGTTAAAAAAGACCATAAACTTATTATGTTTTTTATAATGTATTTTCTTATCAAGATCTGCCTCTATCATCTAACTGAACTGAACTCCAGCATTACTGGCAGCTCTCAAGTAAACTTATAGTAGGAATTGTTTTTAATTTATCTTTATTTTAATAAGAGCCTGATCAAAATGAAGTTGAGGCTTTGATCGCGAAGAGTATTTTATTTTGTTGCTACAACTTCTATCAAAGTTCACGCGACGGTCTGTTATTAGTTTCTATAGTCTAATAATTTTTTCTTGGCAATGACATAAGTAAAGACTGCAAGCTCACCATTTTGGTTTATAGTTTTTCTAACTTCGTCGTAGAAAAATATTAACTACAGCTAATTAATTATTCAATTTCTATCTTTCTCTTCTTCTTGAGTGATGTCTTGAAACACGAAATTTCGATTTCTTTCAGTATAGTATGTAGCAGTGCTCCACGTGAGATGTCCCATGGGACGAGATGGGATGAAACGTTTTCAAAAGAATCTGATAGGACAAGAGGAGCTAAACATTTTTTCGCTGAAATTCTATGAGAGAATAGGTTCATGTTGTCATTAAAACTATAGTTTTTGAAGTGAATGGTTTCTTTTAAAAGATTCGACTGTTTTGTAATAATCTTCGGCAAATATTAACAGACATTCCCACAAGATTTTTGAAAAAGAGTCGATTCTGTTAAAAGAAATCACCTACTTCAAAAATAATGATTTTAACGGTGACATGAACTTATTCTCTCATAGAATCTCAACGAAAAAATTTTTTGTCCCGTCTCGTTCCATGGGACGTCCTACACGGAGTCCTGCTAGGAATACAAGGTGCACTTAACTCATAATTAATCGATTGTTGATTCAAGTTGATATTGGACGGATCAGATTGAACAATGTCTGTAGACATGGCTGTGGGTGTGATTCGTCTTTTATCAGAAACCCACACTTGCACTGATATCCACCCTCAAGGCATTCTTTGACAATGTTTATTCTTACACTAAATAGCTGATTTTTGTTACAGAAGCTTAAAAACGTATCAGCATGTAAAAATAACACACCACATTTATTCTGATGTTAAACTGTCTAACTCAAATATTTTAGAAAACTTGTCTATCTCATAAAACATATGTCTATTTTAAACGTTTGCACATTAAACTGTACGAGTCGACCATAGCATTCTTGATCATAACACTCTTTAGCTGGATAAGTGTTTTGTAAAATGAGAGTTTCTGTTGTCAAAGTCAATGTTGTACCTTCAAGTCCAGAGAATGAAGCTTGAAGAAGAGCAGCAGTCCAATAACCACCGGTTGGGATAGGAACTATAAGTGAATAGGAAACAGTTGAGCCAAATTGCCCCTATTAAAGAATGACAAAATAGAAAGAAAAATCAAAAAAAATAAAACGATTTCTAATAAAATCTCGAAATGAACAGTTGTATTTGTCCATATAATAGGATTAGCAACAACGTTCGCATAAGTTTGATCACGTTTTGCTTGTCGAAAATCACGTCTATGAAACAGGAAAGAATATCAAAATTTATATCTTATTTTCTTCGGATCCTGTCTTAAATTATCCTTGGTACGAGCTTAATAAGCAGTAACATTTATCGATTTTGGTCTTCTCTCACTGATATCAATGACGGCATGAATGATACCGTGTGTTTCATTCGCAGTACGTGTCCATTTCATTAATGGTAGAGGTACTCTCTGTATTTCTAAGCAATTAAATAAAGATAGAAGTGAATCTTACATCTTCAATACTTAAATAGAAACTCAATAAACTTTCATCATATCCTGTTATCGATGACCGATATTAGGCATTCGTCTATGTATAAAAAAAAATATTATTTCATTTCTTCATATTTTGCTTAGCTATCTTACCTCAGATAAGATTCATCAGCAGCTACTTGTAAATCGTTCCAGAAGAAATCCTAACAATAGTCAAGATTACTTTTCATATAGTTGATAAACGATGAAGATTATTTTACTGCATTATCAAGTAGAAAAAATTCGTCATCAGCACCTTGAACTTGAAAAATTTTTGTTTTGCTATTTTGATCCAAATATGCTATAGAAATAAAGATGATTTTTTGATAGTCTAGCAACTTATTTCACGTTTTACAGTATGGATCAATCATTGCGGTCACTGCATCAAATATAGAACTATTCAAATAGCAAGAAATATTCATTTCGTAATAATCACTCAACCCAAAGCTCCATCCACCCAGGGACTATCAAAAACAATGTGTCATTTTTATTGATGAAATTTATACATACCCGATAATGGGACATCATGCTCTAGAAACACAAGTAATTAAAAGCGAAATTAACTACTTTATCTAGTGAGATTTTATCTTACTGGTCGGAAGTTCAGTAAGATCCATGATGATAGGAACTGCACTTACGACTCGTTTATTGTCCACAGTCGCAGTTGTCCACACTAGAATTCTACATGAAATACTAAGAAGTCTCTTATATATATATCCTCACTTGTCCATCCACGCTATAAATTATGGAATTAAAATGAAAGTGTAAAATAAATACCAACTAAAAACATGACGCTTACTTTCGAAACACCACCAATGACAAATTCTTCTCGTACAACTATGTTTTTTTGCTGTAATAATTGTTGAATAGCATCCATTGCTCGTCCGACTGCCTGTTGTTGTTTATAAAAGAAGTAAACAACATCAAACGTAGGCGAAAATTCTTTTGTTGTTATTTTACTTTAGTCATTGGAAATAGAAGAAGAACTTTTCCGTCAACACCATAGCGTATCAAAAAATCTTTTCCATGTCCAAGCAATCAGTGCATTTTCTCTTCGAGGTTTACCCAATGGCACATCCTTTAAAGACTCAATCATCCCAGTAATTAAAGCTAGACTATACCTTAATGTACCCAAAAACGAATTGGCTGATTAGGAATCTGGTAGATTGTCGCTGTGATACCGTTTGTATGCAGAGCAAGATTCGTTATTGTGTTAGTAGTAGGTATTCTAAAATTGATTAGAGTGAAATTTACAGAAAATGCCTATGCTTTCATCCAATAGGCATATAGAAAACATTATTTAAACCGTTATATGAATTTTCTTGCAGAATTTTTCGGTGCGGAAAGACCTCATATATTTCAATATTGAAAGTAATTGATTTTATTTTATGATTTCTTAATAGAATATATTGATAGATGAATATCCGGGATTTCGTTTCTCATATAAATAAATATCCTACAAGATAGACTTATGGATAGACATTATTTCCATGATTGATTAATAAAAATACCGTTTTATTACGACGAACAATTCTTGGAACTGTAATAGTCACATAGTGCCACCAAATTGGTTGAAAATGACTATATATCAGGATGATTAATATAAGCTTCTATAAGAATATAATTTTACCATCAAACCATTGTTGTGATGCTATTAGATCATTTTTTTGCGTTATAGTATACATTTTTTGAGGCACGCTGTATTTTTAAGAAATAACACGAGCCATTATTCTATGAGTGCCTCTTGGTGTTGTTTCTTCTGAACTAAATTGAAATGCGAGCCATTGCATTGGTTCATGGTAATTTCTTCACTTTCAAACCTGCTCGTAACCCGTAATTTTTTCACTTGTTGTGAACAATCATTAAGCAATTCCTTACTTGATCTTCTTCATAAAATTGATTATTGCTATTAGGAAAGAATGATGGTGCGTAAAAAAGAATGTTTTGTTTTCTAATTCATTCGGTGACAGTGTCGAAAGCAGTTGAAAGCTGAATCGATCTTCTTCATTCGACATATTTCTTCAATTTGAATAGTTTCGATATCGACGAATACCCTTATCATTATCGTCAATAACCGTACATACACAACTCAAATGGCATATAATTCAAGTAATGTCAGTATTTGGTACATTACCTATGTCACGGAGTATTTTGAAATCATATTCAATATTTTCAACTAAATTAATTTCTCTTAAATGAAGACAATCAATATTGTGAAAAAAATTTTCTCTTTGCAAAGTCTTTCATATGATTCTATATGTATGGTCTTTGTTTTCTACTGCCGTTGATGAGCAGAGAGTCAAAAGAACGAAAGTATTGAGAAGCTAATCTATTGTTATTGCACCTAACAGATCTTCTAAGAATAGCTTTAATAGTGAAATTAACATCTTGATGTGGAAAAAATTGGACAACTGATTGAATTTATCTTTTATTAAGAGAACTTTTCAAGATAAATAAAAACAAGTTATTTTCACGAGATTTTTTCTTCCTACATTTAATCTTTTTCTCTAATTTCAAAGATAAAGTTATTTGGTAAACATGTCAACATATGTGGCACATACATAAATACACGAGTCCTTTGGCAAATACTTTTTGTATTATCTTCTTGAAGTATAATAAAAATAAGAACAGAAAATAAAATATGCGAGAAACGACATTAGCAATTTTTCGTTTGACATCGATGGATCTCGATAATAGCACCCAAGAGTTTAATTGAACGAATTTACGTTTTCACGTCCACTTAGAATATTCAATTGGAATAGATTTCCATAAAAAAAAGCTTTTTGGATACAGTCTCAGTTTTATAAGGAATAACATTTTCTATCGAATGGTACAATATGGTTAGATCTTTGGTGAATAATTACTGGAGATCTATACTTCATACTGAAATGTGCATCTTCCATGATGTCGTTTGTTTGTTGCGGATACAATCTCTACAACTTTTCTCGTGTCGATATAAAACTCTGATTTTTTTTATTGTGATATCTTTGATATACAGTGTCTTATCTTGGATGAAAAGATTAGAAATAGAATTTTCAAGTTATGCTGCGTTCCACGGTATTATGCTGTTTGGTATCAAAATGACTCAAAAACTCTACTGGCTTAATAGGCATTGAAAAGAAATGTCATGATTCATGGTAGGACTTATAAGTGAAAAATGTACTTCCAGTTCGAAACCTTTTTGGCAACATTTGCCTATAGGTATATTTGCCAGTGATCAAACATTATATGCTCAGTAAAAGAAAACACCTCGAAATATGCCTTTGTGCACTCTCCGTCTCTTTGAAAAGATGATACTCATTGCAATGACATTTAACACGATCATTATTTAATTCAATGTGACATATGCAATCGATTGATTTATACGGCCTGCAGAGGTTCAACCCTTTGCTTTCACTATATTGATAAATTAGCTGATATTGCTGTCAATTTAGAATAACTGATTCTATCTGTTTACATACTGATTATACACTGCAAATGAATCAATTATTTTCTGTTTGCTAGAAAATTGTATATGCGATTGATAAATGGGATGTGATCGACTGGTAAAAACAACTATGTCTATAGTATGAAACAAAAACATTAGCGTATGTGTTTCGAATTGTGACGAGGCAAAATATAATTTTCTCATATTTTGTATATAATGGCTTTCAAATGTGAGTGCTAAAACATATCATACGAGATACTAACGTTTAGAGACAACAGAAAAATTAAACATTGTTTAACCCTTTACGGTCGGATGTTGCCAAATGGCAACATTTTGCCAATATCATCTTAGGATTTATCTTAAAGTGATGAGATATAGCTCCTTAAGCGATTTGATAATTAATTACATGCATTTTAGGGCAAACCTATGCCTTTTCAAGAAAGGAGAAAGCTATTATTGACGAGAGGGATGAATTCTTCCGTCAACACCCGAAACAGCCCCCGAGTCGAAATTATCTGTTTTCCATTTATGCGAGTACTCGATGCGAGAAGTAACTAGTGGTTAATTTTCCTCTCCAGTTCCATTATCTTTTATATCAATAAGATGAATCATTCAGTTTACTCGAAGAATAGAGTACAAGAATGTTGCCTTTTGGCAACATCCGGCCGCAAGGGTATAAAAAGTTGGGAATATTGAATTATTTTTCCTCGATGGAAGTCCAATAATTTGCTGTTAGTTTTAGTCCAGATTATCAAACAAAAGCATACTTTGTTTATCTGCCCACCTCTTACAGCCTCAATGTGCAATATATTCCCATAATACTCAAAAACTTTCCGAGATAGTGCACATTTCACCTATTTTCCCCAAAGAAGCTCACAAATTCAGCGAGATTCTAACAAGATTTACAGTACATCATAGTATTCCTATTCAGACTACTATAAAACATTACTAGTCTTGTTAAAATCTTACTAAATTCATGGGCTTCCCTAGGGAAAATAGGTGAAATTTGCACTATTTCAGAAAGTTTTTGAGTATTTTGGCAATATATTACACATTGAGGCTGTAAGAGGTAGGCAGATAAACAAAGTATGCTTTTGTTTGACAATCTGGACTAAAACCAACAGCAAATTATTGGACTTCTATCGAGGAAAAATAATTCAATATTCCCAAGTTTTTGTACCCTTGCGACCGGTTGTTGCCAAAAGGCAACATGTTGGCATTCTGCTCAGTATCAGTTCTTTTAACTCTAAGATGGATTTCGGTAACCTCCACATCTAAGAGACAAAGAATATATAGAAGGAGAATTTTTTGCTTGCTATCTTCTGGTAGCCGGCCGTAAAGGGTTAAGGATGAAATTATTTAAAAAAAATGTTTGTTGACAAGTACTCAAATCAGCGAACATGCGCTAAACGTAAAGTGAATGCAAATATCCATACTTTTAACAAAGCAGTGCAAAATTTTGATAACAGTGTTATTATATTTGATGATTCGATTCATCATCATAAATTGGAAGATGCCCAAGTATGTAGTATATGATTTCGTTGTTCACCATAGTTTTTAAAATAACAGTTTTTAACATTAGTACTTACATATATGTTGCTATTACTTTCTTTTTGATAACGAGTCACATCTGATGTGTCAGAGAAAATTGCCGATCTTCAAATCATTTGGAGTAGTCCACATAAGAACGTTTCAACTCGTCACGTGACGAGTTGAACAAGCAGCAAAAATCAGGCCTTTCGTAACAGCAAAAATAGGAATATCCAAAAATACAGGGATATCGTAACGAAATTACAGGGCGATCGTAACGATTAATACAGGGAGTTCGTAACAGTTGCAGAGCTTTCGCCACGAAGCAACAGGGCTTTCGTAATGAGGATGAGGGGGATAGCTGGACTGAGTTTGCAGAAGTTACATGCGTTTCGTTACGAAAGCTCTGTAATGGTACATATTAAAACACCAATTACGATCACCCTGTAAAATTTGTTACGAAAGCCCTGATTCCGTCGTTACGAAAGCTCTGTCACGAGCTTTCGTACTGTCAATTCGTTACGAAAACCAGACAAGAAAAAATGTGACGAGTTGAAACATTCCCGTCCACATTCATACTTTCAGGACAGTTTCTTAGAGTACATTCATTTAAACATCGATCTTCAAATTTATGATCTTCTTTTCAGTCGACTTTAAATTCTAATCGAAGAAGTCGAATTTCTATTTATCGACAAGATTTCATCATGCATCATTAGCATCCAGGATCGAAACTAATGATCATGAGGACAGATAGTGAGGTACGAGTGTCAGATTTTTTCAATGAATAATTTTTAAGTATCGATGCCCATCAGCAAAGCAAAGAATTGTCAGGTCATGCATAAAGACGAAACAATTAATGATAAAATATACTTTGGTGTATAGAATGATCAAATGGCAATTATCATTAATGATGAAGAGGTGAATAATCAACAGCAAATAATGATGAAGAGGTGAATAATCAACAGCAAATAATGAGCAAACATATGAGAAAGAATGATTCGCAATTACGGTT